AAAAGAAAAGTAATCAGAAAATTACTACTGAGCTGATAAGTTACTCTACTAGATAATAATTTTTAATAACACTAACTTTCTAATTTGAAGAAAATCATGTGAAAATGATCATATATCAGTACTCTGATTTCACAACTCTCACCTGATAACTTTCATGAACAATTACTTTATATATGAGTCTCAGTGACTGAATAATTAATGCAGTCACCTGGTAGCATCTTGACATGGAAAATCAGAGTGTGTGAGTTCGAAACCCGCAGAGAATATATTAAATTCAGAACTCAAGCACCTCAGGTTTCTAATAAATACAGAGGTGTACAAATCACTTCAATAAAATTGCTCTATGTTCCTGAGCTGAGAAGTTATTATTGCATGTATTTAATTGTCACTTCTTTGTATTTTCTATGTTCTTGTTATCTTGACATAATCTCAACACCTGTATTTCCTTCTGTATAATTAACACTTGACCTGTATTTAACATCATGCAAGAACTCATCATAAGCTCCGCTTGTATATGAGTATAATAAAAGAATAATAATAATAATAATAATAATAAAACTTTATATATGTATATCTCTGAATCTTTCTCTTCAATCAATTGAAAACTCTGAATTCCGAACACTTCTTCAAATGCTTAATTCAAATCTTCATATTTCACATCAATTCTGTCTTCAGTTCAATCTTGAGACATACTACAAAGTCAATATGCAACATCTAGAATCAGAGTTGAAGAATTATTGAAGAGTGTCTCTCACAGTGAATGTATAAACTAGTATAAATAATCTTACATTTATGAAAGTTACATGTTATTATATTGATAAGAACTGAACTTATCAAGAGATATTAATTGAATTTAAATCATTGATCAGTAGTCATACTGAGAATTATATGACAGAGATATTAATAACTGTGATTAAAAATGACTATTGAGATATTAGTCTCAGTCTTCTTACAATTACAACTGATAATGCTGCAAATAACTACACTATGATGAAAAGCTTGAAGTAAAAATTGACTTTGTATTTCTGAAATGATAAATAAGGTCATATTCTCTGCATTACTCATGTGATTTAACTTGTAATGCAAACACTGATAAAGAATCTTAATATTGAGATAAAGAATAATGAGATGACTGATTCTTGAGATAAGAATAAGATGAAAGTAATTACTCAAGTAACTTTTACATCTACTTTACAAAAGATAATGTTTTTTAATAACACTTTTTAATATTGCTTTTTAATAACACTTTTTGATAACACTACTGTAAATAGATTGACTAATAATTTAAATATCACAGATTTAAAACATTGTTAATGCAATTTGTACCTTCTCTAAACAATAATAACAATTTCATGATATTTAATAAATAAATAAATCAGTCATATCACTGAATATGATACAGAATGTTAGAATACAGTGAAGTTCAATATATGAAATAACTGTTCAGACTCTTCAATTATATCAGATAATTGATTATTGAGTGCAACACTCTGATCAGAAAAAGATTCAGATATTGAAACTTTTTAATATGAAGTGAACTCAGTTAAAATATGTGATTGATTTACTGTTTCAGTTTTATAAAATAATAAATACAGTTTTAATCACTCATACATCAATGCTGCAGTCAGTCTGATAAGTGTATAACAGTTTATTTACTTATCTTGAGAAGTAGTTAAATCACTTAAAAAGAAATTCAGTCTGAGATGATGCTATAGCACAGACTATTATTACTGTAAGAAATAAACTGATATATTACTACAGTAAAACTGAACAATCTTTTACAGAGTACTATGCTGTAGCAGCTCTATTAGATTTCTCTCATTGAGTTAATATCTACACTTCTCAAGATTGAACAGAGAAGAAATGAGACTTATATATTAAATTAGTCTGAGACTACTACAATGCTAACTATCAGAGATGTGAATGAGCAGATGTTCAAGATATAAAGACAGTGAAATACAATTCTCTAGTAAGTAACAATCTTTGATAACACTTCATATCTCATAGAACTATAATACTAACTTTAAAACAGAACTTGCATACATTAATTGCAATCAAAAATCAGGCAAAACTACATGCTTGTAAAACTGAATTTGATTACTATCTTCAAGATAATTCAACAAATTTACACACTAAATCAATTCTAGAGTTATGAAAAATTGTTAAGAGTACATATTTAACTGTTGCACTGATAATATATGATATTCTGACAATTTCATTAACAGAGATGAGAATGAAGCAAAAGTTCAACTCAAGTTAAAATATTTATTACTATTACTGAGAACAATTACAAGAAGAAATAATCAAGAAACTCATGATTATAAAACATGAAATTATCAGACAGTTTAATATTTCTGATCACAGTATATCAGAGAAGTGTAGATTTCATGAGAAAGTGAAGAATAAACTTGTATAAGAATGTATTTAGTTGTTTCATGAGTGTTATCAATAATTATTATCAAATTCTGATTATATAAGCAATCACTGAATGAACTGAATGAGACTGATTTTAATTTTCAGTCTCAGTTTCATTCTGATTTTGAAAGAATGATTATCTTTCATAGTTTATTCTAAGAAATTACTCTCATTTCACTGTTCTTGAATTAAATCTAGTCATTTTTCACATTATTTCTCTCAGAAATGATTCATTTTCAGATTCTTTTGAGACTTGATTCTGGTGAAACTTATGCCAAGAAATGTATGAGATCAGACTAAATGAAATTAAATATGAAATTTATGATCTCATCAGTCAGTCTAGTTTTTATATTCTGAGCTGAAATTTTCAGATTTTATATATCTGAAATTGATAAATATATAATATTTAACTCTATAAATATTATAGTCTCTGACTGTATATATTTATAATTGAAGAATAATAATAATAACTATCTACTCTTATTACATTTTTTAAATAAGATTATAATTTTCACTTCTCAATTTAAATTCTTTTTATTACTTTAAATGTCTTTAAATATTATTTAAGTATTATTAAAAAACATTACTTTTTAAAAAATTACAAATAGTTTTAAAAAAAAACCTTAAAATGTCTAAAAATAGTAATCTTATATTAAGAATGAGATTAAATAAAATTAAATAAAATTACTTTCTTATTTTTTTAAGTTATAATCTTATTTTAAAATCTGATAAATAGTTACTTTATATATTATTTTAATAATTAGTCTTAGTTAGATTCATGTTAAGAAATATATAGAATTAGATTAAATAAGACTAAATATGAAATTTATAATCTTAGTAGTTAATTTAGTAATAGTAGTGTACTAATCTATATAAAGCTAGAGCTTATATTATAATTATATAAGTGTGACTGAATCTGATGAGAGAGAATGTAATTTAGAAAAATATATAACTGCTGAATAATAATACAGTTACTTCTGAATAAGCTTATAAATGTAAAGAGACTTTAGCAGCTGCTAATTAATTTACATATAAGAAGTCAGTATACGCCTGTAATCTTACACTGACTTAAGCAACCTTTGAATCACAGCAGAGCAGTAGAAGTAGTGATAATAATAGAGAAGATAGAGAGTGAAAAAGATAAAAGAACTGATAAAAAAGAAGTAGAAATAAAGAGTGAAAGTAATAAAGAAGGCTGCGGCCCTGCGGAGCAGTAAAAGTAATAGTGATAATAGAGAGAGTAGAGAGTAAAAGAGATGAAAGAAGTGAAAGAGATAAAAGAGATAAAAGAGATAATAGAAGTGAAAGAAGTAAAAGAGGTAATAAAAGGCTAAGAGAGAGATAGAGGTAGAGCGTGCAAGTGATAGTTAGAGAGCTGCGCCAGCAGCAAAGCGAGCGTAAGCGAGCGTTTGATGCTTGTCCAAAATTCAAAAAAGAAAAGATTCAAGAAAATGATCGATGCAGGGATCGAACCTGCGATCTCCCGCGATTTTCCAATGTAAAGCGGGCGCCTTGACCACTGGGCCAATCGATCGTCACTAACAGATTTGTCATCGGAGACCTAGCAAATTTACTCATCCTGGGCAATATCTGGAGGATATAACTTGGTAGTTGAACTGGCTTCTACACTGAATCTGCTCATATGGCAATCTAATCGTATCAACAGTGGCAGCTTGATACATGTCCTTAAATGATCAATTCCGTGGAAGAAAGCCTTAAACTCCTTGACAAAGCAGAATCCGGCTCACTTATATACAGGATCACTACGGGTACGAAAGAGCCCCAACCCCAGACGCATCTTCGACCTCGCTTTCTTTTGTCAGCTTTGTCGTGGGATCATTGCCTAGCATCCGTTGAGGGAAATGGATGTCACTCCCTGGTCCTTCCCCTGCCTTGCTGTGCCCATCTCAGCACACCGTCAGTGTCCCATTCTTGTTTACTGTACGGAAACAAATACACCCACATTCGATAAGCAGTTGGCCTTGTACCTCGTCAACGTAGGCTCCTCATTTCCTGGGTGCGCTATCCATGCACAAAGCGCTGTTTATGCAGCCCGCCCAGGAGCCGACCAAGTTGCTCTCCTTTGAGCAGTGACGATAGTAGATAAACCGTACAGTTCAATAAGAGGTAATATGAAAACCTCGGACTCTAGCTTGGTAGGCTGTACAATGCTAAAGTATTATCGGGTTCCCTTGACACGGCATGGTGCTGGTTTGCGCAATATCACTGGGAGAGAGTTGGAGCGCTGTGGAACGAGATTAGCGTTGACACCATGGTCCATGGTTGGTTCTTAGCATGATCTTCTTGTTTTCTGAGTGGAGTCTGGCCCGTCCAAGCCGAACCCAACCTATCCTGGTCCAGGAATAGGATCCGGGGAAGAAATGACCGATGTCATCTGTGGAAGCTGTGTATGGGGGAGTCTGGGGAAATTGACGGCAGGCTGTTCTAGATATACTGTGGATGAGTCAGCATTCCGCTAGCATCAAAGGAGATAGCTAAGCGAGGGGCGACTAAACCCCAAGAAGGCTAGTGTGTTTCCGGTCCTCGCAGGGTTCTACGGTTGACTGCAGCTGCCCGGATCCCGACAAAATTGTCTGGATTCTTTTCAACTTCACCGCTTTGAGCTTTTGCTGGTTGGGTTGGTCCAGGCAACTTCATGCAATGTCGTCGTCTCAGACTCTGACGACGTCGCTGATGGGGCACACGCCTCATGAGCCGGCGCCAGATAGGTCTGCGTACGATCTCGGCGATCCCTCGCGGGATATCCCAAATGACATCGACATCCCCTCAAAGCTCGATGTACCGAACAAAGCCACCCTCGACCACATCCAGACCGTGCAAAACACCTTCTCCGCTCTGTCAGGTATGGCATTTCCTTGAATTTCTATGATGGTCGTCATATTGCTGACTCGACATGTGTAGATGACTACAAAAAACAAACTGATCGGGAAAAGCAGAGTGCGGCAAGCGCTCTGCTTGCCCAACTTTTTGCCAATAAGCCGGCCACAAACGAACCACCGCAAGAATCCCCGCAAATCGAACGCGTACCGGAAAGTTCAGTAACAGGCAGAGATCTTGCGTCCGAAAATCTGTTTCAGATATCGGAAGCCCACGCGAAGAACAATGTGAACGGTACAGATGGAGTGACTGAACCTGCAATGGAGGCGGCTTGGGGAATAAACCAGGGAATAAACGAGGGTTCGAAAACGAATAAAGATATGCTTGCGGGCATCTTTCAAAGAACCCAAGATGGAAATATACCGAAGGATCTGGGCGCCAACTCAGGGACAATACAGAACAGCAATAATAAGGCGGAGGAGGAATTAGAAAGTCTTTGCTCCGGGCTGTTACCTCTTGCTACACCTAAAAACGCGAAAGATGCACTGCGACAAAACGAATTACTCACTAATTCTTATTTTAATGCGGACATCAGCTCTGGCCCAACGCCACGGATTGTCAACTATCCCGAACCGCCACCGCACGGCGACATGGAAAATTCTCAAGCTGCGCCAGAGTCTATCGCGGGATCTGAACCCCGTATTCAGGCCTTTGCTAAGCTAGAATTCGACGATGGCCATTTCTACGTTAATACCTACTCGTTTATTCTAGGCCGTGATGTTCGTGCTGCGCGCGCCGCATTCCAGCGGGAACTCCAAGCCAGACAGGCCAGAGGGCAAAGCTCAAGTGGGGGTAATAAATGCTACACTCCAAATAGGGTAAAGCACGAAGGAAGTGCTATAATGGGCAGCGTGGTTAGCGACAGAGGAGGCATAATGGGCTTTGATCCAGACGTTCCTCAACAATTTCCGCCCCAAGTTAGCTGGAAATCTTCAAATTCATCCCATGGCGATCAGCGACGGCCCACGCTGCACATGTCCGCTGCAGAGGTACCTCCTACTCCTCTCGAAACTCCAGAAGTGACTAAGGACTACAATGCCCTTGCGATGCAGTCATTACGTTCTAAGAATGAACCTAAGCCTGTCGATACATTATCTTTATTACCTTCACCCGATGCATGCCCTACGATACCAGTACACCCCCCGGCGCCTGCTAATGGATCTGTCGCTACCCACCGCGGCATTTCTCGAAAACATGTCAAAATAGCCTACAACTTCGATCGGAATCTGTTTGAGATGGAGGTCATCGGGAGGAACGGGGCATTCATGGGTGCAGATTGGCTAGCACCAGGCCAAGTTAGGCCGCTCCATAGTGGTGACTTCATTCAAATCGGTGGAGTACGAGTGAAGTTTGTCCTCCCTGACGTTCCCGTTGGTGAAACTGGGGCAGAGCAGGATGAACCCATAATGGCCGATGAAGAAGAGGTAGTTGATCTCAAACGGGTAGAAAAAGATGCTATAGCTAGTAGTGATGCAGTCGCCGGTATTATGGAGACAGATGGTTCAGAGCTAAGTGGGGCGGACAATCGATCGCGACCAAAGAAATCTGGTAATGAATCTAGGTCCAAGTCAAAACCTTCACTGGAAGTCAGCCCGGAAGCCTCCTCGCAACCCGCTCGCCGTCGCGGCCCTGGTCGCCCACCCAAAGATGGAATCATGTCCAAACGAGAACGTGCTGAAATAGCCCGTGAGCAGAAATTGGCTGCTAAGCGTGAAGCGAACGGCGGAGTAACGCCACCTCCTTCATCAGCCCGTGGGAAGACCGGTAAAACTGGGAAGGATTCTGGGCAGGAAGATCCTTCAAATGCAAAGGCGGAGAAACGAAAATACACGAAACGCAAGAAGCCCGATTCAACTACTGATACTGTTATGCCGTCAATTGAAGGCGGTGATGTAAATGCTATCATAGGGGTTGAGGATCTCCCCAAGCCGGCACCCCTGAAAAAGCGAAAACCATCAAGATCTCCGTCCCCTGATTATCCCCCAGAGAGCTTCTACACAAGCGAGGACCTCGCGAAGCCTCCATATAACTATGCGGTTCTGATTTTCGATGCACTTACCGAATCTAAAACCCCAATGACTTTGAAGCAAATATACCGCGCCCTGAAGCTGAAGTATCCGTACTTCCGATTTAGATGTGAAACTGAGGGTTGGACGTCTAGTGTTCGTCACAATCTTAATGGCAATGCGCATTTGTTTGAGCATGCAGAAAGGGATGGAAAGGGGTGGTCGTGGAGACTCGCGCCAGGAGCATCTGTTGATAAGGAAAAGAAGCGGAGACCATCACCCCCTCCTCCCTCACAGAGTGCCACACAAAACCTTGGGAACAATCAAACCTACCTGGCGCCAACCCGAGGTACTCAGTTCAATGCCTCCCGCCCAAGCATGCCCGAGCGCCATAACTCTCTTCCGTTCCCATACCCTCCCGTAGGGAACAATCAATCCTCCCTGGGAGGAGGTGCTCCACCGTCACATAATAGTCCCTACGCCGTGCCAAATCCTGCTGCTCAATTTTCGCTTCCCAATGTATTGCGTAATAATCTCCCACCATCGTTTGCAGCTCCTACTACCTCGACCTACCGATCACCGTACGCCTCAGCACCACCACCGGAAATATTACAAGCGCAACTGCAGCAACAACAGCAACAACGCCCCCCTCCGCCTCCGCTACCACTACCGCAAACACAGCAGCAACAACAGCAGCAGCATCGACCGCCTCCCCCTCCTTCGTCTCAGCCGCAGCAGCTACAGCAACCACCTCAACAGTCCCATCATCCCCAACAACCGCCACATCAAAACCAACAGCAACATCAACCCCACCCTCAACCCAACCCTCAAACTAACCCTCAACCTCCTCAACCTCAACATCAGCCTCAACATCAACCACCACCGCCGCCGCCGCCACCACAGCAGCAGCAGCATCGACCCCCTCCCCCCGAACAATACAAATTCCTCAATCACACCCTCCTCCCCCCCCAAAATACCCTACCTCCTCCCACTAATAACTCTGCTCCCAAATCCCCTTCACTTCCTAATGCGAATCCCCCTCAACCGCAATACCACCCTCAGGCCCAACCTTCCCCTTCAACCCAACATCCTCCCCATATCCACAGTCAACAACACCAGCATCAACCGTCACCAGCACCACCAGCATCAAATCAAACACCCCAGCCTCCTCCATCGCCTCCAGAGCCTGAACCGTCATTCCTCGACCGAGCAAACCAAGCCATCGATAACTTCGAAGCAGTACTGATGGAAGACTACGAAGATAAAGAATACATCTCTAAAGTCTTACGAAGTGCTCGCGACCGCGTGCTCAATGGTGCGACGGAAAGCTCGTTCCCCGGTGGAGAGCCAAAGGATGAATCCGTCATCATTGATGCTTTGAAGGGAATAATCGCAGGCTTGAATGAGGAATGATTTTTTTATTTCCCTTTTTTCTTCCTTTTGGTATTGGTGGATCCACGCGCTTGCGGTGACTCTTTCCCCCTCCCCAATCCGTACTTTTTTGCCCTTTTTTTTATTTTTTTTTATTTTTTTTATCAAGGGATTTTTGGAAACGGCCTGTACATAACTAATGATCTGTTACGTTTCGTTCTCCTTCTCCTATTTCCCTTCTTCTCCCTTCTATCTATCTACCATCGCCTTGACGCACTTTGCTCCGGCCCTTTTGCTGGTTTTTCATCCGCCTCTGTCTCAATCTTCATTAACCCCCATTATATCTTTCTACTGTTTCATCTTTCATGTTTCCTCTCTTTTTCCTTCTTATGAACGAATGAGAAACGAAGGGAATGAATCTCATATATCGTTGGCTTTTGTCTTTTTTCTCTTTTTCTATTATTCTCTTTTCTTTTATCTTTTTGGGTTAAGGTAATTTTTAACGCTAGGGCAAAGGCTGGCTGGGTTGGGAAGCGGAGCTCATTGCAACGGAGAAAGAAGCGCTGGTTTGGTTTTGGATTGGTATTTTTTTTTTCTTTTTCCACATGCATTAGACGGACTAAGACAACCTGAAGCATGATTAATTTATTTTCGTTCATGCCTCTTCTTCCGTCTTGGTTTCGTTTACTCTTTTTCTTTTTTTCTTTTTATCTTTTTTGCTATCATGTCTCGCCTGTTATTTATTTTGAACTTCAAAACGCATGGCCCGTTTGCTACCACAATACAGCGCGTTTTTATTTAATTCTTTTTTACATTTTTTTAAGACGTAGTTACGTTGTGTAGCTAGATGAGATCTAGGCTATTAGCTAGGAGAGAAAGGAGGAAAATATAACAAGAAAAGAAAAGGGCGCCGGGAGAATAATGGTTAACCATCCATCTCGTCATTATATCCATGATTTGAGCAATAAAAAGAGGAAAGAAAGGAAAAAAAGGAAAAATGACATGTAAAGTAAGGCTAGAAACAGGAAAACCGCAAAATCGGCAGCAATACAAGGGCGCGAGAGGTAGCACAAAAGCAGGGAAAAAGAAAAAAAAAAAAAAAAAAGAAAAGAAAAGAAAAGAAAAGACCCCATACCATACATAGTATGGGTTCGACCATGATAGATGTATGTAAATTGGAGAAAAGGGGGGTGTGGATATAGATAGAATTTGTGTCGCTGATTGATGGATGATGATGAGGATGATGGCACGAGTTACAAAAAGTAAGTGCATTATACCAAACATCGAGGCAAGTGGGTAAATTCGGCAAGAGGGTTCAAAAGCGGGAAAAAGACAGACAGACTGACTTACAATAGGATGTGAGATTCTGGACGAAGTGTAATGGTCTTGTTCCACCCACCCCCTGCCCCCGAATGCGCCCGTTGAATAACAAGAGGCAAATAGTTTATTTATCTTTTACTCCCATTCCCATTTCTCATGATAGCACAATTAAAAATAAAAAAAAACGGAGCGTTTCTGTTGCACGTTACATCGCCATCTCCGCTCGCAGTTTCTCCAGCTCCGCTTCCTCGTCGTCCTCTTCTGGGGTGGCTTTTTCTTTGCCCTTGACTATAAGCGCAACGACATGTTAGTCCTCGGGTGTTTTTTAATAAATAGATTTTATCAGGGGCATAAGACGCCCATGACTTGAAACGGTTAAATGGTGACTCACGTGGTCCATTTGCGGCTGCAGGTAAGGTACCCAGTTGATCTGCAACTGGCACAGTCCCGCCTTTGAGCATTTGTTCGTCTATTTGTTGTTGTTGCATCCCCTCGAGTTCTGCCTCCAGCTCGGATTCGTCTAGTGGATCGCCTAAAGGGGTACTTGTTATAGCGGTTACGATCTCTTCGCTGAGTGCGTGTTGTTCTCGTAGTTCCTCCCTATTGGTCCCAACTATATTAGCACCGCTGCTACTCTTTATAGACAACTAGGTTTCCCGTGTGCAAGCAGCCTGCAAGAAAATATGAATAAATGATCAAGGTAACGTACATGGTCTCATCTACTTTCTCGATCGTAAGCCCGCTGTGGATCTGTTTCATGGCCTTTCCAGCATTCTTCATTGCGAGGAGGGTTTCTTGGTTAATATTCGCCGCCTCGATAGAGGATATTTGTTGTTCAATCTGAATTATCTGCGCGTTTGTCTGTTCGAGGGATTTCTCATGGACTTTCTTCCGTCTTAGGGCAGCCTTTGCAGCTATATTCGTAAAAAGAATAAGTATTAGTGAGAAGGGCTATTCTAGTTAATTATTCGTACCAAGCTCCGCAGTTGAGAAACAGGCTCCCTCTGTCGAAGCGGGGTAGGGATTTGACCCTCCCCATCTGATTGGATAACATACCATTTTTATTTGTAGCAACATGCTTCCGGGCTAGAGCATCTTGTTCTGCCATTTGGTTCTCCAAAAATGACTCTCTTTTCTGAAGCATATCGAGTTGTTGGCGCAGGGAAAGGATGGCATTTTTAGGCGCATCCTTCCGCTGCTGGGCAGATCCGCCGCCAAACCACGACCACATGGTGACGGTCAAAAAAGCAGCTGGCTAGGAAAGCTCTGAAAAAAGTGGCTCACAAGAGGTTGTAGGACAGGGGGGCTGTGGAATAGTGGTTATAGATATGGGCGTGGAACCTTGACTTTCGGATGCGGGCGCTGCGATAGGTATCAAAGTTGGTAAATGCGGGATGGTAGAGTGGTTAGGCGGCAGAATGAGAGTAGGAGGCGGGATGATAACGGGAAGGGCTAGGAAACCATATAGAGTGGAGACTTGAGTAGGATAAACGACGGCAACAGTTTCTAGGGAGAGATACGCAGAGGTATGGCTGTGCTGGTCGGCCTGTTGGTTGCGGTGAGTCGGCTAGCGAGGTTTCGGGATGCGGGCGGTGGTCGTGATCGTCTTCGTCTGGTGTGGTGAGGCTCTAAGCTATCCATGAGTAGTAACACCACGTGCACAACTCTATTTGAACGCCCGCCCTTGCTTATGTCAGCTCCTTATCAGCTCTTCCATCTAAGATAGTTATTATTGTAGCAAGATGATAGAATGATAGAATGTTTACAAAGTGGAACACAGGCTTATAAATATATCTCCCTGCTTCACGGAAGTACCAGTATGGAATTGGACAGAATGGATTTTCCTCTATTTGCCCTGCTACCATGAGCCAAGGCCCCGCCGGCCCGCTCCCTACAACACGGGCCTTTCTGTCAGAAATCCCCAGCCTGCCGCCTGGAGCAAAGATACGCTTTCTCGGATGGTGAGTTTATTTTATTTTTATTTTTTATTATTTATTTTTCGTTTCTCTCTACCTACTAGAAAGCACCCTTACTCCGTACGTAGTATACAAAAACTAACAACCACCCCTCTTTTCTCCCTACCAGCGTCTCCTCCTACAACCCCTCAACCGGCCATCTCACCCTAGAACATAACTACCCTCTCACATCCGGGCCGACCCCCGCCCCCTCCTCCATCGCAGTAGACGTAACTCTCCTCCTAGAATCTCTCACAGCAACCGATCTACAAGTCGGCGCCTGGCTGAATGTGCTAGGCTACATACGAGAGCGCCACCGGCCCTCACCTACCACCACCACTGCCACTACCACCATCACCACCACCACCACCACCACTACTACTACTACTACTACTACTACTACTACTAATAATAATAATAATAATACTAATACTAATAATAAGGTGCTTCCGTCCGCCGCGGACCGCAAATGGTCGACAGCGGCAGCAGCTAGATCAATTTACGTGGAAGCCGTGATGATCTTTTCGGCCGACGCTGTGCAGCTCGGCGAGTACGAGCGCGTGCTGCAGGAGTGGGAGGAGGCGGATAGGAGGGTGGAGCGGCCTGGGTTAAACTGGCGGAAAGCGACGGGGACGGGACGGGATGGGGAGGGTGCGAGGAGGGTTTTCTTATAGTATTTTGCGTCGGGTGTTTTTTTCTTTATGGGAATGTATTTTCTTTTCCCGGGGGGGAAGGGGGGCGGAGGGAAGACGTATATTCCCATTTCCCCACCGCCTGACAACAAGAAACGAGCGAGCACTTTCCTTTTCTCCTTTCTCCCTTCTCCTTGAGGGGTCCGCTGCCCGGCCCTTAATCCGAGCTGAATTTTTCCCTCCTTCGCTCCTCTCAGATTGACGACGACGAAACGGTGCATGAAGATATGAAGATACGTCTTCGTCGATCCCGATCTCCGATCGCAAAACACACGCTGGCACGCATCCCCGCTACAATCTTGCTCCAGGAAGGTAGAAAAGGGAATATTAATAATAAAATTATAAAATCTATGTTGTATTTAGTGATATTCCTTTCTCTCTCCTCCCTCCAACCCCCCCTATATACTCCTAAACTAATTTGTCCGGAAGATTTGAAATCCAAAACGCGCATCGATGCAATATGTATATATGCAAATAGAGTATAGCCAGAAAATATACCCAAAAATGAGAAAGAACGCCATGTCTGATGCAAAAACTAAAAGAAAAGGATAAGATGGGGTTCCACTTTCAAACCACTTCCTTCTCCACCACCCCGCCACCTTCTTCCTTACCGTCCTTCTCTTTACTCCCACCGTTCACAATCCTCTTCCGCCTCTTCCCATCCAATTTCGCCTTATCCGCCTGCATAGTCTTAATAAGCACGCTCTTCATCCGAATCCTGTGTCCGTACTTATAAAACACAAACGGAATCGGAATAATCATAATTTCCAACAGGCCCAGGAGTGTGCTCGCCCAATTGGGACCTAGCTTCGCATACATCGCCGGCCCAGCAAGCGGAAGTACACCGCCAAGCACACTTCTCATCACCGAATTCCCAGCCATCGCTGACGCGGCGTACACCCCGTAGCTGTGCGTTAGGTAGTTGGATGCGTAGATGAACACGGCAGTGTTGCCCGCGCCGAACGGGATGCCAGCGAGGATTGGTGCGATCCAGTGAATTGTTGCGGGTGCGCAGGTCCATGCGAACCAGAGCTCGCCGGCGGGGATTAGGATTGCGGCAATGCAAACGACGGAGACCATGGATTCTGGAGGCACTTTGCCCGTCTCTGGGTCGAGTTTGTGGCTGTTTATCATGCGGCGGAGGAGTGGCTCGACAGCCACGGTTGTAAGGGAACCCACGCCGATGCCGAGGAAGGCGAGGCCCGATTCGCCGACGGACCATCCGCGGATTTGACGAAAGACGATTGGGTACGCGACGAAGCAGAGGTAGAGGATTGCATAAACGACGGCGATGTAGAAATTCCAGAATATGCTATGGGGGGGGTGGCTTGTTAGTGATGGGGCCCGGTTCCCATGGTGTTTGGGGGTTTATAGAAGGGGAGTATCATACCAGATAGGCTCAAGGACGGCCATGACGAATGGTCTGCTGAGGTTGACTTTAAGAACGGCGGTTATGGACGCTTTTTGATCGTATCGGCTCCACCAGCGGGGATCATCATCCTCCTTTCGAAGGCGGGCGGCCTTCCTTTGGAGAAGCACTGGAGTGTATGTTTCCTTCATGATGCACATGAAAATCAATGCTACCCCGGCAAAAATCATCGTCAGCCAATTCGTCCATCTCCAGCCTAGGTATTGCGTTACGTATCCGCCAATGATGGGACCAAACACTGCATTTCTCTATGTTAGCAGGAATAATGTTTTGAAAAATGAATCTCAGGATAGATATTAACTCGAGTTCAAACTTACCAGGTCCATTCAGGGGCCCAATACTCCAAATGGAGAACGCCAACGCGCGGTGTTCATCATCCACCATATCAGCTATTGAACCGGGGGCACTGGAAACCATAGCACTTCCGGCCACAGCCCCAAGGAACCTCAGAACAATCAGTTGAACAACAGAGGTGCAAAGTCCGCATGGTATGATCAGCACGGTGAACAGAAACATGCTCCCGACCGAAACAGGCTTTCTGCCGTACATCTCACTCAGCGGGGCGAGGATAACGGATCCAATGGCGAGCCCAATGAGGTAGAAAGTCAGGCCAAGCGTCACTATGGTCTCTGAGACATCGAATTCCCTGGCTATGTCTGCCAGCCCTGCAGTGTATCCGGTCGAATATAGGACTCTATATCAATTGCAACAAATAATTAGATATGGGAGCTCTAAACCTAGCAAAAATAGAGAGGGGGGGGGGCGTGGGGGGAGGGACAAAAGAATAGGAAAACCCTCGACATCCACCACTTACACCGTGAATGTACTCCACGAAAGGAACGCCGTTGACATTCCTTTAACCCTCAAGGGCCAATTTCTGGGATTTGTAGGGTCATTCTCTTCCATGTCGACTTCAAAATTGGGATCTGTGGTACCAGTCGTGCCGACTGAGGTGATCTTTCTCGACAGCGGCGGCATCGAATGCCTTGTAATCTGAGGAGTGATAATATCATCGTGATCCTCTGCTATAATCTCTATGCTTTTATCCGAAGCCGATTCGGCACTAGAAGCGGCCGAGTCAATGCCATCGTGCTGCTGAGATTCTCCAACAAAGCTTTCTGCAGGGGTCGAGCTCGACTTCTCGGAGTCGGACATGGGTTAGATATATAATAATGAAGCTGGCAGCGGAGGGGTTTTCCTGTAGAGGAGAAACTGAGAGCGAGCAGGCGTTTATATCGCAATGGGTCTAGGGTAGTGTAGTATGGTCCCAACGACGGAAGCGGCGAGCGGAACAGGTCACTGATCAAGCAGGAAAGCTCCGAATGGGATTGCGCTCAACCGATGCATCAGTCGGGGGGATATTGTAATGTAATAAATTATAATCGCTATGTAGTATAGCTAGTAATAAAATGGGGGGCGGAAAGGATGAGCAGCTCAGATTGGTGGAGTATACGTAGTATATCAACATATAAAAAATACCGTTCAGCAGCTTATCCCAACCACAAGAAATGAAAACAAAATAGGTAAAATAAAGAGTAAAATTAAGAAACGAACGGCAGTCGCGAAAGGGTTTATAACCATTTCCCACGATTTCAGACGCTTACTAAATAAAAGACCTCTCCTCAAAACCGATTATTCGCAATATTTTTTTTTATTTCGATTCTCCTCCTTCACTGTTCCCCCAAAATATTCCCAGGGCCGCTGTTTAGCCTAGGCTTCTTTGCAGTTCCCACTCCTCGAGGATTAGCCGAACAGTCTAAAAAAAATAAAAAATAAAAAATAGCAGACGGCACCATCCCCACCCAGCGAGAGCGAGAGGGGTTCGCTCATGGATTCATGGGGCTTAGCCCGCGCGCGCAGCCAAGTAAGAACGACCGCATCGCCGGGAAAGGCGAATTCCAAGCGTGTCCGGCGCCGGTCCAGTGTCTGGCGCACCTTTTAGCCTGGAGCTAGAACCTAGGAATGAGATCTCGGCAGCAGTGGGTGGCCGAAAAGAAGGATCAAATGTATGGAAGTTTCACGGTAGAGTGAGTGAGTGTTTCTATTCACGTCTTTCTCGACTGCTTTGTCCCTCAAGACTGACGTTCTGTGATAGTTATTTTACCTCAGATACCCTGAGCGGAGGCGGGGGAGATTGAGGGAAAACATGAATCATGATGGCCATCCCGAGTCTCTATTCCGAAGATATCGAAGTAAAGGAATTTAATATGGAACCATGGGACCGACCACAGGGGCATCGGCACAGCGAAAGGGTGAAGGGGGTGAGCCAACCAACGTTGTTGCATCCATGTGTCCGTGTTGTTGATTTGTATCAGGCTTCTTCTTTTTGACCATGGCATGGCGGGATGGTGAGAAACAAGCCAACGGAGATTATTTAATATTACTAATGATAGTTAAGGCGTGATGGAAATATTTCCGCCGCCAAGCAAGCAGCATATAACTTAAACATAGCGGAGGATAAAACCCAAGGCGCGGGGTGCATAACCAACATAACTAAACATAACTATAAGAATAATAAATGGTAACTCTACGGGGTTACCTGGATTGGTTCAGCGGATAACTCTATTATATTATTACGAGAACATTGCCTGCGCGTACGGAGTTAACTTCTACTAGTAGTAAC